TTAAAAAGATCAACCTAAGAAAGTTTCTCTTACTTTAAACAAAGCTATTTGTAATGAAAAACAGAACTCGTGTCTTTACTTTGTTGATAAGGTGATCCATTCATTATTTAAATTATAACATGAAAACAACTTTCTCAAAGTTTTAACTAAAGCTTCATAAAGTATTTCAATATTTTAAATGCTTTCTGCTCTACAAGCGATATCCATGTGTGATCCTATTTTGCACAGGAACTGAATGAATCACAGGGCTCTGTTCAAGGATAGAAGTAGATTTCTGTGGTTCTCAGCGTGCGCCGAGGCCACCAGGCTAAACTGTGGCTTTGCTGCGAGCAAGACACTGCTCTGAGAAACAGATGAGAAAACAGATTGCATCTCGCAGACTGACAATCTGCTTGCTGAGTTTCTTAGACTTTGGAGAAGAAATTTCTCAGGCCAGGCCTATACATGGTGTAGCTGCGCTAACGAAGGATAAGCAAAGAATGGAGCCATTCCCTGCCACGATCTACCAAGTGCAGAAGGGGAAAAAAACAGCTCCGTGCCGGCTGCTCCACCCTCCCATGCTGCGTAATGGCCATAGCCAACAAAGAGCAAGAAGGGGCCAACTCACCCTTCCCTTAATTCATAGTCTATCCCATATCCCTATTAAAAATCCAAAGCTCTTTTAACATGTGAAGTTAAAAAAAGACTAAAAATTAGCATTTAATCAAGAGCTATCCACCCTTCTGTAGGCTGTAACATAGTAGTAGAGCAAAAGGGCATGTACATCACTGCAAATGGCAACAGGATATCAGATCTCTGAGATACAGGAAAACCTTGAATTTTTCCTAAAACACTTTTAAAGACATGAAGCCTGTCTGTATCCAATAATGAAAAAATGGTTGGTCAATACAAACATGTTATATATATACAGAAAATCAAGATAAGGTAATTACAAATACCAATTTTGTTAGAAACCCTTTAGTCTATTTATTACGTAATTTAATGTACACTTAAGGATTTGAGATACAAGAACTCTTTGATTCATTCCGTTAGAGGGACCATGGAATTCCACTCTCATGCTGTGTGTTTACACTGGAATAACACAAAAGCCAGTGAAATAATTTAAAAATCTGTTAAAATTCTCTTTGCAATCCCTTACATACCTAAACCCCCTAATTTCTTAATATGAAACATAGTTAATATACCAATGTATGACAATACCAAAAAGTGGAACCCCAGGAGAAACAAAGAAAAGAAAGTTCCCGTACACTTCAGTCTTCTAAACTCTGAATGTTTCCTGAGGAATCTCAAAATATCCTTGTTTCATAGTAAAAGAATAGACCCCAGCCCAGCACTAATGTTTTGGGTTGGAGACTGTAGCCTACACAGACGTGTAATATAGCTTTAGCTGTCCTAGCGTATTCCACCTGGAATTTAGACCTATCTCCACATGTCGTGTTCCCTTAGTAAAGTCCATCATCCATGCGGATCCCTCAGAAAGTCAGGTGCACCTAAAATGCCACTAAATATATAGATTTAAGCAACTAAATTGCTCTGTGCCAGGTGTTTACTGAAGATTATACTTGCTTTAGTATGTGGCAATGCCTTATGCTCACTTTTGCATCTGAGGAATTCACCATCAGTATATTCATCCAACAATCTTTATATTCCAGAGCACGGTATGGAGATTGAGGTAGGGGCCCACAAACTATACATGGTTCACACAAACATCACTGATTAGTTGTCATTGCATATATGAATTAATTTGGGCATGATGTCTTATATAGTGTCTATTACAGGTATCTGGGTGCATATTACCTTTTAATTAAACATGCATTTCACACATACTCTGCTTTAAGCGTGTGTTTAATCCTCACAGCAATTCATTCATATATTTATATGTGTGCTTAAATAGGCTTCTGGAACAGTGTTGTTTTCCTGCACTGTTGTCATAATTTTATATAATGACTTACAAGTTAGAAGTCAGACCTTTAAAAGTTACATAATTTACTCTCCAATTAACATCACTGACTAGGTTCGACTGTAAAACAACCATACAAAGGCTTGCCCTATTTTTCCCCCAAGTGCCATAAAACACACTGAGAGTCAGAAAAAAACAAAGAAAAGTTAGAAAAATGTAAATAGACGATCAGAGCTCAGATAGTTTTTTTCCTTGGTTCAGATAACAATCGATGTGCATTTGTCCATTCATGAATATAAAATCTCATTCACAAGGTACTTAATTACTGCAAAGCAAATTTCCACAAGAAAAGGCAGCAAGCCATGGAGGGTTCAGCCACATAAACTGAGTTGTCTCCAGCACTCAGAATAAATCCAAAAGGAGAGGGTACTACTCCTCAGACCAACACACCAGGCACAGCATTAGTCCACTTTATGCTCAAAAACTTGGGACTTTTCCAACCTAAGGCTAGGAAGAGCATTTCCAAAAGGAAAAAACAAGCAGTAACATGGACCTTTCTCTCCACAGTAGGACAGGTACAGTTCTGGGGCACCATTTTAGGAACTGAATAATAATTATAGTTAATGAGAAAGCAGGAGTTACTCTCAAATACAATGTCTTCTAAAGATTCTATAAAAAGAAGAAAATTATGCCCCTATTTTTTTTCTGTTGCTTTCTCTTTATCATAACTGGCAAAACCAGTTTTTCAAAAACAACTTTTAAACTGTATGCAGAAAAATACTAGTATAGCTCTACAAGTTAGCTACTTCAATTGATTTTCTACTGAAAAAGTCTTCAGATCATCCTAACCTCAAATTCAAAATTTTACACCTTATAATTATGGCTCTTCTACAATGTTGCTATTTTCCATAAGTGTTGATTTTCTAAACAGGATAAAGGTATCAGTATGACTTCTTTTCAGTACCTTCTTTTGCTTCCATGTGTTTTGTACACAGACAAATCCAACTTTAATCTTGCATGTCATTCTGGACTTAATCCATAATTACCGGCATCAGTTAGATCACGCAGCTTCTCCAAAAAAAGGTATGTTAAAATACCTAGCACATGTAACTCTTCCTTGAAAACAGTTTCTACAATGCATAGTAGCCTCTACTTTGAGCATTCCTGGCGAAGGCAGTGAAATTATTAAGACTCCCTTTACAAAGCATTATGCTCAATCATGTGTTAGATTGTGAATGTTTGTGAATCAGTCCATTATTGAAATATTTTAAAATGTATTTAAATAACTTCTTTAAAATTGGAAATCTTTAGGATCTGTATGCTAAATATTTACTTTTAATTTTTGCAGTTACATTTACAGAAGCCATAGGCATTTTTTATGACATTAGTAAGAAATATCATATATAAACCAGTATGTTTTACTTTGCTTTACTTCTCTTCAAGATAAGTGTACTTCCAGAAAGAAAAAAGACTACAGTTGATTTTACAAACTAAAATACTTAAATTCTGAGCAACAATAACTGTCATGACCCATCTATATATACAAAACACATGGCTAACGTGTTCTATATGCACAAAGTAAAGCACTGCAGTTTAATAAAGAAAAATAACATAAATACACTGCCTCTGTATATACAGAACTTATGATATACAACATAAAAGTAACTGGAAGAATATAGCACAGGCAGAAGCCCTGAAGAAAGTCACTACACAAGTCGTGCAGTAGAACTGGATTATAAATGGCTAGTCATTGTACCGAAGTGAACTTACTTCTGTACTTATAAAAAATGGGTATCACATTTTAAGAAGGCTGGTACTTTAAATTCCATCAATTATCTGGCATACTCCTCACTAAGCAGCCTGTTCAAGTACACCACAAAAACCAATTGAATGGTGTGTTTTGATTTTGGTCAATGGACTAGTAACTAAACAATAATGCAGTAACTAATTGAGTTGGGGCACTGTTGAACTTTGGTAAACTATGAATACCTGAACTGTTGTTTACAGGACCAAAACCAGCTTTAAAATAACAAGACTTTATAATAGAGTTTAAACGGGTATGATTTGGACAGTCACACTTAATTTGGTCTGATAAGGAACACCGAAGTAATATGAACATATTATGAGGAGGTACTGGCAAATATATTTTCATTTAAGCAATTTCCATTTCTCTAGGCCTTTTCTTTCTTTCCAGGAAAAAAACCCAACAAAACACAAAATTAACAAAACAAAAACCCCATAAATTCAAATTCTAGGTCAACAGTGTTTCAGTTCATTCTGTCTTTTTTTTGCTATGCCTAATGTAGTGTTGAACACCAGCACTGGATTTTGTGCTGCAGATCTTCTCGTTTGAATACTGTCAAATGTCATAAATGCTTGTCATAATGCTCTTACTCAAGAGCATGATGAAACTTAACATCAAAGCCATGCTGTAGGTTCCTGGAGATATGACTAATGACTAAAGTTAAGTCCTTTTCCCCAACATGGCCAGTAACCCAGTTTCACTTCACTGAATCTAGGCACCTTGAGAGTAATGCTGCTCATACCAAACCTCCACCGTAAGTTTTACACCTCCTCTGCCTTGATGATCTCTCATTAAAGAGATGCCCTTTCTTTGTTTTGTAGGCTCATTACTATGGCATGCTTAATTTCTTCTCCAAGTGAGGGTAGCAACTATGGGTGAGGGTTTGGGGTGAAGCTATGCCTTTCAACATAGAATTCCACAACACAAAGCCTTGTCTGAGATTAGCGCTTTCATCTGTGATTAAAAGTAGTTAATTTGAAGGTGAAACATCAAAGGGTGAATAATTAGTATATTGTGCATATTAGCCCAGCAATGAAAATAAGTCCTGCACCACAGCTAGTAACAGAATGAACAAGTACCTTACTGACCGCATTGAAAGCAAGAAATTCAGTATTGCTATATTAACAAAATGACTGCCTGTGACTTTAAACACTGACACACTTGTACTTGGCGAGAGAGTGAACGATTTATTGTTACTATGAAGGATGCAGGAATGAAAATGAAGATGCGATGACGATGATGACAGGGGAGAAGAGGTTAATATCCCCAGCGTCTGATGGGGAACGATGTCCCTACCTCAGTAAGCTGGATAAGGGAATAGCTCCAGATCCACTGCCCAGGATCCCTCCTTTCCTCCCAGAGAGGAGTTTCTCCACCAGAGCCACATTCCCCGTGCGAGCAGCTTCCAGCAGTTCCTGGTCCTTGCCCATGGTCAGGAACCGAGCACCCCCCGGGCACCCCGCCGCGCGCTGCGAGA